AGTGCAATGTAAAATAACATGCGATTACACCAAAATATCCATTCATTTTGAAATAGAAAGACCTTAAGAATGCATGAACTATACAAGTAAGCACACTTCATAGATGTATGTTATTTACTCACTTCTACCAACTCTTGTTCTTGCTCGAACAGTGACATTTGAAGGGACAAATAAATAACGTACAATCATCTGATGAGGAAAAAAAAGCAAACATTGTAATTGAAGAACAAGTGGTTGGAAGGGAAAGTGAAATAAACAGAAAATAACATTCAAATGGGGGAAAACTATTTAAACTTTRTCTTCAAATTAGAAGTTTATAARGGAAGGAAGTTGAATCTTTACAGTAAATGATGAAATATGATATATTAAGCTTAAATATCAAAACCATTAGCTGCATTGCCTGTTGCATGTCAATTTAACTTGTCAATTTCATGTTGTTTCTATTAATAAGTGCCATATTAACGCGTAGTTTACTAGATAGAYAGGCCTTACGACCGACTTCGGACGCACTTCAAATTATAAACACACKAGTAACTTAGCATACCTCCACTCCACCGAATAAATCGATCACTTTGCCAACAGTGAGTTTCTTTTGAGACGATAGACCGGATTTAGAAGGAAGATCACCAGCTAATTCAGCTACCATTTGGCTTTCCGACTCAAGGGTAGTGAAGAGCTCCTACAAAAATAACATAGCTTGAGTTTACATATATACTTAGCTTCACTGCAATCTCAGATTCTTATCAGCTCTGTTTTCTTTTACAATTGCACGTGATGTCAGGAAAGACATACCAATCAAAATATTAATATAAATTGTAAAAAGTATACAACGTAGCTGACTTACATCAAAGTATTTAGAGCAAGAATCAACGTTGAATTTCTCTTCGACGTGATCGAGAATTTCTTGCAGTCTTCGCAGAAGCAGTGTGACACCATCACATTCGAAACGACRATCCACATCTTCTACGAACGACTTGGGCAGCTAGAAATAATCAAAAATACTTCATGTTAATACTTATACAACACAGGAAAACGATTTTGTGTGTGTAAAGTCATCTATATCTTTGAAAAACCATAAAATATTTGATGATAAATACCATAGAAGAAGTGAGCTTCGAGCCTTGGATCTGTGAACGAAGGAACATCTGAGTAACACATCTGTTAGACGCCATTTTTCTCAATGAATATTCAATAAATAATAGCTTCACGAAGGAATTTTGCTTTTGWCGTGTAATCGTAATTGCTAGCACGAGATCTAAGATCAGTTTGAATGCTGTATAGTCATGGTCGCCTTTATATATTTACGCGGCAAATTTATTCAAGTTGCAAAGGCGTTTCACCGCTGAATGCATCAGCCAATGATAGAGCGCGAAAGAAAACGCCGACCAATCAAARTAATTGTTCTATTTCCCAAGACGCGCGCGAGTTTCGGCTTTCCAAGATGGCGGCGGTCTTTTTTGCACTCTTTTGTTTTTATTCCATTTAATTATCTGAAGTCGGCATAGGGTAAAATTCCAAGGCAAGCTTTGTTCTGATGAAAAATGCCGGCRTATGACGAAGAGCCCTAAAAACGCTTCAGTGGTAAATTTTTTTCCAGGATCAAATTTCCAGATTATTACCACAGTCATAAGCTTGCCTGGTCATATATGTGGGTGTGTTCTTCCGCGCTAGCATCCATTTCCGTAATGTTTGAGTCATCTGTGAATTTCAAATTAGCAGTTTTTAAGATCAAATTTCAGTGTCTTTTTCACTAGATTGTTACTTTTCAGGAATCAGTGATCTAGTTATAAGGTTTCATCAGAGTAATTTTACTAATAAGAGTGGCTAGCTACAATTGTAGGTTCCAATGCATCAATCAGAGTAAGAAAAACTACGCAGCGGTAGCTAGCTGCCGTCCAAAGGAAATGTTGTAGCATAGCGATATAGTGTGATCTGTATGAATAAGATTTCAGATATAAATGATTTAAAGCTCCTATAATCCAGCTGCATTATCATCAATAAAATTAAATTTAGGTCGGCAATGCAATCAGGATCGCAAAGAACACCGCAATGCCGAAAACTAGCGCTGGCGGGACCAAAAGGGCGGCACTTCAATGCTGCAGTACAAAGAAAATTGATGGGTAACGCGATTAACGGCATCTTGTGTACAAATAAACAACAATAGATGGAGCGGCGCTGCAATTGCGCTTGCATTGTTGATGCAACCTTGCAAAACAATACCAACGGCAACGCAAAGAGAATGGTACCGCCCTTGAAGCTTGATGCAGACCGATTGACAAACGGGCCTGACAGCGTCCTGTGTGTTAGCAAAAAATCCAGTAATCAATTCATGCAAATATTCTACAATTCTATTAGAAATATTGCTTTAAATACATCTTAGAATTCCTGATAAATAAACTTGCATTCAACATGCCAGCATAGTTTACACAGGTTGTGCAAATTTCTTGACAGGAAAACATGCATTCTTTTGAGTTCGGGACTGTACCGACAGTACTTACGGCAACGCAAAACAGACTGATGACAAAAAGCGCATATCAATTCCTGGCCATTTTAGAAGGTGGCTCAATTTAAAAAGAGTAGAGTACTACATCGGCGGACCAATTTCTATGAGCTTAAGAAGTCTACTAGCACGTGAAGGTTTCTATTCCACAGTGTCGTTAAAACCATTCTAATGAATGCAAAATGATTCCAAGGTATTTGGAAATACATAGCAGATAGAAAGGGCAAAGCAGATGCATTCTAGTTCATGTGAAAGGACAAGACGGCCAGCTTAAAAATCTACTTTTAATAATCATCTGGTATTCATCTATAATAATTAAAACTACAAAATCGAGGATTTACATCCTTCAGTGAGAACATGAACATTAATTTAGTAAAAGTTTAGTGGTTAAAGTACAATGATATCGTCATTAACATCCGAGTCAGTGCGGGCTCGTTTACTCTTTACTCTAACTTCCTCTTCTTGAACGTCGTCCATTTCCTCGGGTTTTCTCTTTCGAGAAGTTGTCTCTTCTACTAACATAACTTCGTCGTTTTCTTCTGGTATAACGAATAAATATGTCATGCATTAGTGTTTATCAAAATACCATGTTTTCATTGAATTGAGTTTTGTTAAGGACTTTCAGTTCTTACAGAGATTGATGGTCTGGAAAACACAAAAATAGTTCGTAAACAAAAGTGAAGTTCTAATACAAAGATTACTGTAAAATCCTTCATTATTTGGATAATACTAAAGGTGTATTAATGGCTACAACCTAAAAGGAAAAATAGAGGAGAAAGGCAAGTTTTTATTGGTTGTACTCAATCTTTTTAGATAACATGGCCGTCTTTCCATGGCGTAATCAGCAATAATTAAATGGCGAACTACATCTTTACGTATAGTTCCGGACACCATGGTTACCTGTATTGTCGTTAGGTGGTACGTCGTGTGACGATCTCTCTTCAGGTTTGCCTTCTGGTGGCGCGACTGGTTCATCACCTTCTATTTCAAACTCTACATCAGTATCGAGTTCGGTYCTGGCAGAGAGAAAAKAATTAATGGTGCATCTGTCAAGAAAGACTTGTGCTGTTAAAGAAACTTACGTGTGCTTTATGTTGATAATCAATTCATAGTTTTGCAAGAAGTCATCTGCTTTTAGTCGAGATCCAGAAGTGATTTGAAAGTCRCTKAGAAACTTGCACGATATTTCTGAAACAGAAACATGAAGTTTARCTAGAAACATGCTTCAGCTATCGAGGTTTTTGCTTTATATTTAACAATCCAGTGAAAAGATAATCATTCAATGCTGAAACATCAAAAACTTTATCCAAATAGTTACGTTAAAAGCGGTTTTTCGTTAAAAAGTTCAAGATCTGTAACAGTTCCCATCATACAATACATCAGCAGACAAGGATATGTAGTTGGGAATCACCTAATGCCTTTTTCAAGCAACGCGGACTGATTTGCAACGAGAGTATTTTTTAGACAACTTTAAGTTTGAGGTATAAGTGCAAAAGAACCGTGATGTTTGACAAAGTTTTGAGTTATACCTTCTGTTTCTCCTTCTTCACTTGAGACAAGTATTGTACCTAGAGAAAGAAAGATAACTATCAACAAACAATAGATAGACACTCAGTTATTGCTTGAAAATTTCACTAAGTCTAAAGTATAAAAGATTTTCCCTCAGGATCCCCTCCATGCCTTACTTTTCAGCTCCTTTTTTARTGKCCAGAATACAGATATGTGTTAGAAACTGCCTGGAGTTAGTGCCATGTGCTGATACAAACAATATCAAGTATACAGATCTCACTTTTATTCTAATATAAAGATTGAAGGTAGGTAGGTACCTTTGCCATCGTCTATCTCAACATCTGGTGCTACCATACCAAAACGCTCTTTCAAAATCTATAATATTAGAAGTAACAGCAACTGATTATTCAAAGATTCAAACACTAATTAATCAAAAAGATATCATTATCAGATAATATAAAACTATTAAATACTGCATTGTACAATTATCTGTTACCTTATCTTCCAAGGTTTTCAAAGTCAGTGTCTCTGTATTGGCACAAATTGTAACCTGAATTCAATAAACAAATAATAAAACAATTGTCAATTCACAGCAATATCAACTGTTWAGCAAATTTAACACTTTCYACAAACCTCTGGTTTTGATGCACACACATAACATTTAGGGTTTGGAGCTTCTAACGARCAGGGAACAAGAAGTTTTTTACGYGGATTTGGTTGTCTGTTTAGATAAATCTGAAACAGTTACAAATAAAATTAGAATTGATATCATGTCTAGCAAGAMAAATGAAAAATTATAGCAAMAATGCATGCATAAAAAAGAATRCTTTTGAAGTGTGTTGGGTGAATGTATGYGAAGTTAATTGGAAATAACTTACAGTTTTACATTTGTCTAGTCTGTCATTGAGTACATTCAGTCCTTGCATAACAATAATTGCAGCAATCACAGCATTGGTTGTAGCAATAGCTGGAATAATATTACCTGCCATGGCTATAAACAACATTGAGTTAACTAATTATAAAGTAATAAATCAAGGAGAAAATGAAGGTACTGATATATCTTTGTTTAGACAATAATTTCCTGATAGATTC